AAGTCTTGGTCATGGTGACAGTCTGGTTACTTTTAGCAGATAGTTAGAATGATGTCATTCAGCACATTTCCCGCTTCATTGTGACATCTAGGCAGATTCAACACTAAAACTCCTATTTTTTACTTTATTTATTTATTTATTTGCTTTTTGGGTCACACCTGGCGATGCTCAGGAGTTACTTCTGGCTCTGCACTCAGGAATCACTCCTGGCAGCACTCAGGGGACCATATGGGATGCTGGAAACCGAACTCAGGTCAGCTGCATGCAAGGCAAACATCCTACCCGCTGTGCTATCGCTCCAGTACTGCCCCCTACCTGCCCCCATTCACTTTAGGGGATGAATTTTTAACTCTCAAAGACTTGGGCGTATTTATTTTTCCTAGTTTTTAAAAGTCTATATTTTATATCTTTTAATTGCTTAAATATTATTCTACCTATATGTGTTTATTACAAAATGCTGCTTTCAAGTTTCTTTTGAAAGTAGTTAGCAAGAAATCGAACTGTTTTTAATTTAAAAAGTGTTCCTCCCCTCCAAAAGAGTGCAAAGGATACCTATAGGTTTAATAATGTCCTGAACAAAATTTTATCCTTACCCTTTGAATAACTTTGATGAATAAGCACCAGTGCTTGATACTCTCTCTCTCTCTTTCACACACATTCTCTCTCTCTCTCTCTCTCTCTCTCTCTCTCTCACTCACTCACACACACACACACACACACACACAGAGCTTATAAATGGTGATTCTCTTTTGTGCCTTGGTTCCCAAATTCATGAAAAATTAATGTTACCAAGATACAATCTTTCATTAAATTGTTCATCACAATTTTCTTTTATGGGAAGCAGTTGTTTGGGGGCCACACCCAGTGATGCTCAGTGGAAACAGTTTTGTAAGTAGCAGAAGAAGGAAAGAGGTCCCTGGAAACCCCACGTATTCAGAATCATAAGTAGGAACAACCTCTTAATCAACATGGGAAAAATCAAGAGGGCCTATTCACTTACTGGGCAAAAGTTACTGATACTGGGGTTACTCCTTTCTGGTTAGGGAATCACAAAAGGTATCAGACGCCATTGCTGGGCTAAGCCCATTCACTCTATACAGAGTCTGCGTTCACTGTGGTTTCAGATGTTATGCCCTCCTTCTCTAAGCGAACTGTGTCTCATTTGCCTGGTCCTGATGGAGGTTCATCACAATGGCTGCAGTGAGCCTTATAAGTCCTTGTATCTGTGTTTCCCCCTGAGTTACGGAAAATGTCCTAGAGTGGCCCTGCTTCTAGGGCAGTTCTCTCAGGCCTTGAGTGCTCAAAAATACACTGATTTTGTCAACAAACATGAAAGATCAAGTAATCTCTGTGTGGTGTGGGACCTTAAAAGAACTACTAAGAGATCAAGGACCCTCTGTTCTGTTTATTTTCTAATACCAAGTCATCAACTACAGAAATTATTTTTTTCTTTTTGGGTCACATCCAGCGATGCTCAGGGGTTACTCCTGGCTCATGCACTCACGAATCACTCCTGGTGGTGCTTGGGGGACCATATGGGATGCTGGGAATCGAACCTGTATCAGCCATGTTGGCTGTGTGCAAGGCGAACGCCCCACCCGCTGTGCTATTGCTCCAGCCCCTACAGAAATTATTTTACTGTATGGCAGTTCAAAAGCAAAATTGAGATTACATAGAGAGCTACCAAGTTTGAAGGTGACTCATGAAGAAGATAATAACAAAAATTATCTTTTCTTTCCATTAAAACCGTGTGGAATCAATGAGGTCACTTTCCTCATTGATTCCACAGTAGTAATTGATTCCAAAATAATTGTTGCAGTAAAGAAGGACCTTCCAAATGATAAATATTTCTGAATTTATGTGTCATGGGATCTAGTAAACTGGGTACATCTTCTTTTACGTATCATAAACTTGGGTTATACCATAATAAATTTCTTGAACAATGGTGGTGTAACTTATTGGGCATTTTTTCGAATGTGAGTATCACAATGTAAAATACCCAACCATCAAAAATATATATATATATATATATATATATATACATATGGGATCTAGTAAACTGGGTCCTTTTTCTTTTAAATATCATAAATTTGGGTTATATCATAATGAATTTCTTGAACAATGGTGGTGTAATTTATTGTGCACTTTTTTCAAATGTGAGTAACACAACGTAAAATATCCAACCATCAAAAAAAAAATCAAGATTTTTTTTGTCACACATATGCTGATACATTATTAGCTAAATACATGAAATGAAAAGAGGGAAACCATGAACTATCCCTGGCTGTAGCCTTATTAAGCAGAAATTACTTAATAAGGCTATAGCCTTATTAAGTAGAAATAACAACTGGCCTATAATCAATTTTACAGCATATTCACAAAGGGGGAGTGTCCAGTCAGTAAGATTCACATTTCGGTAGACTGCTGTGCTTTAAGAGTGCTTTTCTTATTAGTATATATTACATATCTGAAATAACCAACAGGATGTTTTTGGTATATTGATTTCATTCAAGAAGCCTATGGGAAAAAAGCAGCAAACGAAGCCATAATCTCCAGAATAGTTACTTCACTGGCCCTCTGGCTAACTGGCATTTTTAAACAATCCTTTCCACAAAATGGCCTCCAATGCTAAGTGGGAGCAGCCAGACAGGAAATGAAAATCAAATGTCTCTCTGGAGCTAAGATGAAAAATGATACAATCCAATATTTAAGATACATGTGCTTGTTCTGTATCCAACCACAAAAGAGTGATTTGAAAAAGATCTAGTTTAAAGAATATATGTCCACAATTTGTGAATGGAATTCTGGACTTAAAATGCATTATCCGTTAGATTCTTTAAACCACAATCATGAAAAGAAAGACATGGAGAATTTATGATTTACCTGAAGGAAACTTTGAATTAATATCCTTAATAATATTATGGATATTAACTCAAAGGGACAATACAATTTATCTATAAATCATTAGCATTCAGCATGCATAAGATTTTTAGTTACAACTTAATGATAGAAATTTTTAATATATATTCTTCAAAAATAATTACAGTCTGCAAACATTTTTTTAAATCAGAAATCGTTTAACCTAAGATTCCTTTGCACGTGAGCAAATTCAAATTATTCCAAGTAAAACACAAAATATGGGAAATTATCATCTTACGTTAAGGCATTTAAGAGATGATATAGTCCTTATACTTAATATTTGAATCAGAATAAGTTCAATTGATAACTCATTATACTACCTTGATGACCATGTTATACGTAATAATTCTAAATTTTCCCTTTTGTCATCAACGGATGAACCGTATCCTAGATACGGCAGACACGGCACACGCAAAAACACAAAGATTTCCACCAAATTTAGTCTTAATTTATGTCAGTTTTCCACAACAGCACCCAAAATAGTAGGGATTACATTATGTAGAGCATCTTATTGTAGCAATGAGTCAATTCTGCTAAGTAACAGGCTACAAACAGTTCTGCACTGACTGAAAACCCCGAATATCTTACCACTGAAGACAACAGTAAGACTTAGCAGGTTGAAGAGGAATATGTATTTGGAAACAATCTTTGTAAACTATATGGCTAACTACCAAAAGATCAGCGTGCATTTTATAAAGGCTCTATAAGAGATGAGTGAAAAAAGCATAAATACACATTGACTTAACATCGACCACCTGGCTAATCTGGTACCAAGGTTAGTACTATGAGAACATTTTACCTAACAAAGACCCATCACACAATTGAAAACAATTTTCCTGAAAGTGTGTATAATATGGACCAAAAATTTTGTTTTGAACACACTTACATTGCCCCGGCTGTTCTCTGAAGGAAAAAGACAACTCAAGGTCAGATGAAAAATAACCAAACACTCCTAATATTCTTCGCCTGTGCGATTCCTGCCCTCCCTTCACCAATTTAGATCTTATTTAACCAGCGGTGTTTCTATTGTTCGAACATCACCAGACTGTTTAGACCCACACTATAACCCAAGATTCATTTTACTGTTTGACTATTCTGTTACTTATGGAAGGCTAGTTAGGAAGAAGCCTCGGAGGGCGTAGATAGATTTCAATGGGGGAAAAGGGGGTATTCAGACATAGTCGATGATAAGGTTTATTTATTAGCAAAGAAAATGATCCTTTTATTGTGATCAATTGCTCCTCAATTTGCCTTTAGTAAGATTTCACAGCAATCTCCCCCAGAGGCTCTCCGGGCCTTTGATTATACACGCCCTCAAGAATGTTGTGTGCCACAAAGGTACACGCCCAATAAGGTTTTTTCATCTGAAATTTATAAAGATCATTTTCCATGCTGACAGTGCACATTTCATCCATAAGTTTGAAGAGTCAAATGCTACCACAGCTGGGGGTTATTCTGCCAAATGGCTTCCAACAGGGACCACAGAGACGGAGTGGAGGAGGCAAGCGGATGAATGTGCGTGCAGGAAAACGCAACCGACCTGGCGGGAAAAAGCCCTGCTCCAGAGCCATTTTCCTCAATTACCATCCGAGTGATCTAATCACAGAGAGAGGCCAAGGAGAAAAACACAACCATGGGGAGGAAAAGCAAATACTAAATCAGCTGCCTGATTGCCTACAGAGATTAAAACAAAAAAAGCCAGGAGGGAAGCTGATATATTTCATAGGGATTTGCTAAGGCTGAGGGGCGGCGTAAGGGGCAGATACCTTAAAAAAAAATCCATCATGAAAGGAACTGACACAAGATTATGAATAAAAAGGGGGCCAAGTTATAGCGCGCCATGGGATTTTTAATCTGGCTACCTGTGGTTTCTGTAGTTAAAGCCTCATTCATCTCCCAAAGGGGAGGGGTTGAGGAGGGGAAGAAAAGGAAAAAAACCCAAAACCACCCCCCCACGCACACATTTATATGTCAGTTTTGCAAATGATCAAACAGCGTGCATTAGCAAGATTAATACAACATAAAACGCTGATGACTTTTAAAAATAGAGACCCGTTTTATCAAAAATTATTGAGATTTACCTGTGAATCTCGTTTCTGGAACTCTTGGATTTGATTTTCGTGCTCCATATTGGCAGCGCGAAGCTGTTTTCCCAGGTTTTCCATTTCCCGTTCATGGTCTCGGACTAGGCTATCCTTCTCTGCGTTATGCTGCTGTAATAGGTGCGTCTTCTCCTGTTCATGCTCCAGCTTCAGCTCGACTATCTGATTGGACAATGAGGAGGACAGTTCATCAACAGAACATCCTTGTCGTCATGACAACTCATGGACAGCTTAATTTTTCTCTAATTTGTCCAAGTTGAAATTTTTATTTTTGCGTCATTATTACCTCACCTTTGAAATACTCTCATTTGGTGGTGGTGGCTGGGGGTGGGGATGGGGGTAGATTTTATCCAAACCTCCTAAAATTTAATAAGACAGTTGGGCATATTCAGTAAATCCCTCTGTTATCTGTTGGCAAAAATGCCTGAACACTGCAAAAAAAAAAAAAAAGGGAAGAAGAAGAAGATAATGCTAGTAGCTATTTCCTTCCCAAGAATTTGGGTATTACTGATCAGCAATGGTTATAAATGGTTAATCACCAGGACACTTTGCTTTGGGCTTAAATATGTTCACACACACACACACACACACACACACACACACACACAAAGCAGCAATTAAGGCAGTCAGTTTTCTTTACGATTTTTCAAATAAAAGATCGGCGCTAAGTCCGCCTATGGATTATGGTATATACAGTTGTCTTTTAAAAAAAATAAGATGATAAGTGTCAAAGCTCTATTATCTCATTGTCAGCCACGGTATACCAACATAAACAGATGTTCCGTGTTCCAGGAGGGCAGCTGCTGTGCGCAGGCTTGCGCCATGATTTCATGAAAAGCATTTCTCTATTCTCAGGATCCTTTCCCAGTCCACTCCACCCTGGAGACGGTGACCTTGGCCAGTCTTAGCCTCTCCCTGTTCCACTGAATGGCAGCCCGCGACCAAGGGCCTGGTGGCCGCAGCTTTGATACTAATCCTCCCAGACTGTGGACAATGGCACCCTACCTGGCCTGCACACTATAGCCAGCCAGGCTGCCTTTGAAGCAGGTGATGAATGGAGGCCTGCAGGAAGCCCGCTCTCCCCTGTGAGCTGCCGGCCACACAGCTGCTAAGAACAGTCACTTGGATTTTTCTTCAGTTTTGGTGGATTGCAGGGGAGAAAACTGCTGTTATCTAGAATAGGTTGTGTTATTTTCAGCGTGAGAATCCATCTTCAAAAAAGGCTAACAGTAGGAGCCTGCTCCCCATCGATCTCCTTCCCTGCCATGCCCCATCAGACTACCTTATCTTAAAGCTATAGCATTCATTTCTCTGGGCTCGCCCGCCGCACTCAGTTCCAGAAGTTATTTTCATTTGGTATTTGAAAGGCTCTTTCTTTCTCTCCTCTCTCTCTCCTCTCTCTCTCTCTCTCTCTCTCTCTCTCTCTCTCTCTCTCATTGCACATTAGGAATCAGGCACCAGTTAAATATGCTTTGAAACATGGGATTCAAAATGTTGTATCACTGTGGTTTTTCAACACTAAAAATCATTGTTGAAAAAGGTAGAGGTGGAAAAATCAACAATAAATTCTTAGCTACTCAGAATTTAGGATGGTCCGGAGAAGGAAGTATACTTACTCTTAAATAGACATACATATTTCATAACAAAATATTGTATGATATGGAAAGTTTCATTTTTGTACCTGAGAACATGGATTCATACTAGTGAATTTAAGCTCATGTAAAATTTAGAGATCTTTCTTCCATATTATTCTACTATTGGCAATATACAGAGAGAACTACGTATTTTCTCCATAGACAGATTCTGCCAAATTATTAAAAAAAAAAAAACCTTTTCTTTGGTAACTTAAGATAACTGTGAATGTTTTACTTTGCGGTTCACAAAGTTACAAGCTTAATCCCAGAAAAGAAGTATTTAAAATATATTTACATTAACTGCATTTCCCCCCCTAGGCAGCCAAACACATGAATTATTGTGTTAGAATCTTCTCAGTTCTTAGATGCATTATGATCACTATTCAGTGTTTTATTATCAAACATCATTATAAAAAATTATAAATCTTAGTTGAAAGCATGCTAAAAATTAAAACCATAGCTTAGTTAAAACTTAGCTATGGGACAGGTAACCATACATGTAGGACAATGCATGCAGGTAATGATACATGCTACTAATCAGACATTATAAATTACATTATAAATTATAAATCTTAGTTCAAACGCTTTTACACAAGAAATAAAGGAAGTGGGAGAGTTCTACTCAGAAGACAAAAATTTTAAGAACTTGGAAGAATGGGTGTGATTTAAATGAATAAAAAGCAAAATATTCTACAGTACAATAGCACAATGGGTAGGGCATTTGTCTTGCATGCGGCCGAACTGGGTTCGATTCCTCCTTCCCTCTCAGAGAGCCTGGCAAGCTACCAAGGGTAGCCCGCCCGCACAGCAGAGCCTGGCAAGCTCCTCGTGGTGTATTCGATATGCCAAAAACAAAAACAACAAGTCTCACAATGGAGACGTTACTGGTACCCTCTCGAGCAAATCGATGAGCCACGGGTGGACAGTGCTACAGTGCTACTCTAGAGGAAAGTTATCCATTCATGTACAGCTGAACCACAATAATTATGGAAATCATCTCCCAAGCAGAAATGGCAGGCCAGACGTGACTATGAAATGTAGGAAATGGTGTCCTTTGCCCTGGGTATGGGAAATATGCACCCAGAGGGAAATTTTCCTGGAATCATTTGAAGACTTACTGATGTGTTTTGCCCATATTCATATTCCATTTTACCCAACTTTAAAAAAAAAGCCAAGAAGAGGGGCCAGGACTGTGGCTCAAGGGTCAGAGCATATGTGAGGAGGCCCTGGGCCGTGAACCATGTCCCATCACGTCCCCCACCCGCCAATCAGGTTTAATGAAAACATGAGATCTCAGGCATAAGGACAGGTGTCATACTTTATTATTAGCTGTCATTCTTCATTGTTCGTCTGTCATCTCTCTGTGGCCTGTGGCCCAGTAATGTTAGTTAATGACATTGGCTCAATCTCAAACTTGCTGGAGTCTTTGCAGTGAAATAGCTCGAATCATTTGCTTTCTCTTAACACACCTCGGTCATCCTCTCAATGTTACGCACCCTTTCTGCCTCTAAGCCAGAAGCCATAGTATGTGCAGTACCAAGAAACCTGCCATGATAAAGACCACCAGAAGAGCTGTCTGTAATAAGAGGGAAGATTTTAAGTTCCCCAATCCAAACCCGAGCTATGAGCCAGGTAACCCGTACATGCAGTGCCACACATACATGTAAACATACATGCAGATAACCGTGTATGCAGGCAACCACACACCTTCTCTAGTCCAAGACTTAGCTATGGGTCAGGCAACCATACACATAGTTCCCTGGTCCAAAACTGAGTCATGGGCCAGGTAACTGTGCAAAAGTAGTGCCTATGCTACATGTGTTAACACAGCTGAGTATGTCTTCCAGAGACAAAGGAAATAATCAGCCCTCTTGTGTGCACATGTGGTAGACGATGCAGGACTTGAAGATGCCGTGTCTGGGGTCTGAGTGAGAAAACAGCTTTGCTGCACAGAAAGGACTAGGATGATCATTCAGAAGTCGTTCTTTTTGTAAGTCACAAAAGGTGTTCTTCGCCAATCCATGCTGAATGATGAAGTCTCTGAAAGCAGAAGTCCCATGGCTGACGATCATCCCAGAGTCTGCAGGATCAAGCCTTCATTCCCGCAAGGATATGTGCGGGGCCAGGAACATTCTGGACCCCAAGCGTGACCACAATGAGACCATGAGCTTTCCAAGTCCCTGAGGATCTTAGAGTATACATTTTTCAAGTCCTGATCACAGTTTTCCAGTGACAGTATTGTCAGCAAGTGGGGTCTGAACACCTTCTCGTAAACCTTGGAAGAGACAAAGGAGATGAAAGGGAATGTCACCTATCCAGGACATTCCAAGAGCACACCTTGAGGTCACAAATTCCAAAACCAGAAACAAAAGTGATGAACGTGATAAAAATACAATGAATGCCTTAAAAAAGAAAACTTGTATGCCAAAATACTAACTAAAACAACTTGATATCAAACCAGATTACAGAACCTTTATTTTCCAAACTAAGATTTGGCGAGATATACTCTTCTGCTCCCAGCTCCCAGAGGCAGAGGGTATAAGGAATCAGGTGGTGTGTGTGTGTGTGGGGGGGGGGGGGGAGGAGGGGAGTGTCTCTATTCTTTGATGAGGAACAAAGTCCCTTCAAGGAGGGTCTCTTCTGAGGAACCCAGGACTGAGACCCGTCCCACGGTCCCACCTCTCAATGATAATTCAAATACATAGGAAGATCCTAATTCAATTGTCTCGGGCTACCCAGTACAATCTGAATCCAAAAGCAATTTCAATAACATCTGGTCCACTCAGCTGCTGGAATTGTTTTTGCAACAAAATCATTATGCCTGGGAACTTTTGGGTGAAAAGGGAAAGGGGAGCAGGAAACGTGAAAAAGAACACTGGTTTAAAAACAGTTTTACCTGGAGAACAGAACATGCAAGAGAACGTTTGCTGGTCAAAATCCGAGAGAAGAAGGAGGCATCACCCTGAAGATAAATTTCAGAAGGCGGGAAACTGAGGCATGAAATGCTGCTACACGGTGCTGAGGTCCAGCATTCCGCCCCATTCCCCCCGAGACAGAACTGGCTAAAATAATGCTAAGGGAAGTTTTCTAAAACATTTTATGGAGAAAGAAACTGAAGGTCAATCATTCCCTTTGCCCCTGTTCTGTCTGGGTGGCGAGTAAAGAAGGTGAATGGAAAATAAAAGCAAGCTAGACAGAATGAAAAAAAAAAAGAAAAGAAAACCATCCCAACCTGGGATGTGAAAAATGGGAGGGTGTGTGTGTTTGTGTCAGGATTCTGATGGAACCGCAGGCTTAGATTCAAAACTTCCATAAAAAAAGAGAAGGGGCTGGAGCTATAGTACAGCAGGCAATGCATTTGCCTTTCATGCAGCTGACCCAAGTTCGATTCCGAGCATCCTATATGGTCCCTGAGCACTGCCAGGAGTAATTCCTGAGTGCAGAGCCAGGATTAACCCCCGTGCATCACCGGGTGTGACAGAAAAAGGAAGGCGAGGAGGAGGAGGAGGAAGAAGATGAAGAAGGAGG